TTCCAAATATGATTATGACTGTGATCCTTAAAATTGATTGTTTAGTGTTGAGAGAAAATTGACGTCTTGTCACTGAAGGAGAGGCCAGTTAAGTTGGTTAAACCTAAGTTAGAATGAATTGTTTTGATAAGAAAGTGATATTATGTTAAGTTTAAGACACCAAATTAATGTATATCTTTGAAATAATTCTAGGTAGATCTACAAAATCACATACCCATTTGGGTAACAAATTACTAGAAATTTTGGGTACAAAAGTCACCACTGTACATTTCAACTGATTTTCGTGAATCAATGGGATAAAATATTTCGTCTGAATGATTCTTTTTCTCATTTTTTAAGACAAGAATTTGTTTTACATAACAAAACAGGCAGATCTACATGGATCACGTTTAGTCCTAAAAATGTGAAAAATATGGACACCTCAGAAATGAGGGCTTATAAGTATAATTCTACCTAACTAGTCACATGGTTTGACTTAGATCTAGGTCTATCTAAGAAAAGTCCTTATGAAAATCTTTTTTTAATTTTTTTATGACACTGACATTTCTGGCACTTAGACAAAGAGTATTCAAGGAAAGACATATGTTTTTGAATGAAAATATGACTTTCCTTTATAATTCTTTTTTCATGATGACAGGGGAACTTTTATACACAACAGCTGAGGAAGTTGTGATACTGTGATTGCATACAAAGAAAAAACAGGTTGGAAGCAGTACCTGTATGTATAAAATAGACCACATAAGGTGAACAAAAGTAATGGATTGGCTGACTGGAAAAAATACATCTGGCAAGGGTAAACATGTACACAGGCATGTTTCTTTTCATTCCAACCAGAAGACTGAGATAGCATTTTCTAAGACACTTATGGCAAACTTACCAGCTCATGTGCCACCATGGTTCTTGTGATTAAACAAACACAAATGTCATGTACTGTTACAAGTACTGTTAATGTAATTAAATTAAATTAATTCCTATTAAATTATATTTCAGAATTGTTTCATTTGGAAACAAACCACATAATGCACAAGATTAATGTCCATATGAGTTTAGTATGTATATGTTAAGGATCGGATTTATTCATTATTCATGGAATACTAAAATTAAAATGATGACATCAGAGAGTTACTTATTCACATAGTTGATTTTCAGAGTGCAAGATAATAATTGATGAATATGTGTTTAAACTAAAGATAATAATTGAAGTTTGATCAGTTACACTGTGCTGATGCAAAGACTAATATTTACTGTCCCCACACACCATCATTGTGGGAAAAATAACTATTTAATATAACTTAAAATTTTAAAACCTGTAAACAGCTGTAAATAATTACACAATTACAAATCTATCATCAATACGCAATCATGGTGGTCTTCATATTTTTGGAATAAATTTAGAAATCCTTCGTGTAACTGTTCTAGAATCATGCTAGAATCTATGAATGTATTCCCGAAAGGAAAACTATCCTAAATGTAATGTGGAACTAACACCGAAAATATGTACGTAGCATTTAATTGCTTATATATACCCTATCATATTCAGCAACGCGGGGATGTTATTTTGAAACACGTTTTGCCCATTTTCGCGCACCTGTTGTTGAGGGTGATCTTGCTGATCGACGAAATCCATAGACGTATTATGTGGGATACACTTGTTGTAGTGAAACTTATCAGCGTGTACATCGCAGAAATATGAATCATGTACCATTTATATTTACAACATTGAATGGTGATTCTTAAATATCAACAGAAGTTCAAATAAAAGATACCGAGAAACTTGCATGTTGCATGTTGATTTATCGTCTACCGTTTCCGGGTCACGGGAGCATGCAAGGTCAAACGGATTAACTAATACGTGAATTATATCGTCAAAGTCACATTTTTATTTCATGTTAGTGGTGATAACTGATACTGTGTATCGACTTCTCTTTTGCTGTATGTGATAGGCGAAATATTTCAAAAATTACTGTAATTGTTTTGTTTCGAAAGCTTATCAGCAGACTACCCCTGTCTGTGACATCACATCCGGTGACCTTTGCACTTATTGAAATAGTGCTGTCAGAATTCACGATCTTTATTTTCATTTTTCTCTCGTCATATTTATTGGAATATGACGAATAAAACATTCTTCGATTGAGAAGATCGTCAACTTTCGCCAAGTTATATTTATAAAGGCAATGTAAACTTTGTTGATATTAAAATAGCAATAAGTTATGCGGAGGTCGGGCGAAGCGCGCCATGTTTGATTTTAGGACGTCTGCTAGCATCATGACACGGGTTGTTTATTTTTGTATATCGTAAATATTCAACCAAAACGCTTGAAATTAGGATTAGTGAATATTTATAAGTCATTAATTGTTTCCTGCAAATTTTATAACATGACACGTCAGATTAACCCGAATATTCGTATTTCTGCAACCGACATGATGACCTCGAAAATTAAGTTATTTTTCTGTTTAACGTTTAGATAATAAATTCACTGAAATGGTTCATAATTTACCATCGCGATGATATATGCCGATTATAAAACCCGAATTTTTACTCAATTAAAATTAAGATATCGGAGATATGATTATTGAAATCAATTTGCACAAATGTTACGATATTAAAAGGTTCCTAGCATGAAATGCAAACCACCTTCAATAACGCAATTCAGGTAAGTTCAAGAAAATTTACAAATTTTGTGTTCGCTTTGGTCTTAACCTTGGTATGATTGAAAACATCGGGATATTTTTATATAGTATTGTGTAGTTTTCTATCAGGAATAAATGTGCAAAATATTTCTTCAAATGGCCCTTGTTTAATGAGGCACCGACTGTTTGAAATCACCCACGCTCTTTAGAGCGCCTTATGCTAAAATTAATCCAGCAGGCAGGGGTAAGAAGTGTGAAAATAATTCAGCAGGCTAAAGGTTAAGTTACAAAGGGCTTGCTAAAACATAAAGTAGATGGCGCGTCTTTTGAATTGTATCCTCTGGATAGAATGATAACCGGCTGCCATTTTGTAATGTTGTACACAACAAATTCTTTGTTTGCTCATAAATTGGCATGAAATGAGGACAAGATTTAATATCAGAGTGCAGGTAAAATACGTTTTAGGGGTGAGGAGTTTTTCAGAGGCCTGCTAGGTGGCTACCAAACCTCAGGTTCGGCCATTTCGCAGATTCCACCATTTAGTTGTAGTCCAGTTTGGAGATTGGCCAGTAACTTTTAAAAGGAGCAAGCCCAGCTGGCTACATTCAAATTTGTTGTGAAATCTACCCCTGTGAAGGGAAGTAATATTGCAAGTCTTCTAACAACTATCTCATTAAAATCAGATCTAAGTTCTCGCTTTTGCTGAACAAAGATCTGAGGACATCCCATTACAGGTCACGTGAGAACGACCTTTCGCGAACTTTGACCGACCACTGAAATAACTAACAAGAAGTTGACATCAGCCAATTAGAAAGCAGCTTTCTTGAGCTTTACAGCACTTGTTTCAACCTGGCGACTTCCATTTCAGACTATGTTTGAAAAATATGTTGACACAATCCTCAATTAAAATCTTGAAAACTGAACAAATGAACATTCCGGAATGTATAATATATGGTTGAGATTGTATGTCAGTGCTTCCCACGTACTGTGCAACGCCTCCTCCGTTCAAATGTGTATCCCACGGGAGCGAGAGATAGACGGTGATTTTGACGGAATCAGTCGTACGGGCCGTTACTGTCGTTCGGAATACCCTGTGTTGACATTTTGGAGGTTGCATGATTAGAAAACACATTCCGACTGTCACTTTCATGATCTGGTAAGCGGCGCTTTGATTGGTCGGATAAAGGTTGTTCTGGCATGACCGCAATCGGATGTCCTCAGATCTTATTTTAGCGATCTGATCTTAAGATTTGATTTTGAGATTGACAGTACTTTGGCTGCACATGTCAGAGACACACAGGTAATATTGCGAATGATTCTTTGCACATTCCTATATCTATGCACGGTTGTTGGAAGAAAGGTATAACATCAAGTCGGTAGCTTGCGGTATATACACATTTGTATTATGCAAGTAGATCAAGTGAGTGAGTGAGTGAGTTGGGTTTAACACCGCTTTGAACTGTCACAGCGTGTCAGCTTGATTTAGGAGAAAAGGCCAAAGTGATGCAGGTCTCCAATGTTTACCACTTTCGTGAAACCCACGAGAATAGGTATGGTGCTGACAAACCCAGAAACATAATCAGGACAAATCTCATACAGGTTATGACGATTGAGACAAACAAACCACTCAGCGTGCCCAGCCCCTCAGTAGAGAAGCGACTTTCATTCCCCTTATCCAATCAGGATGAACAATGTGAGGATGAGAATGCTGACTCCTCACAGAATTTAGTTTCTCCGCAGGACTCTCAGGGACACTCACCAGCGAATAAAAAGTTAGTTTCTGTTTGCCTCCACTTCCTCCAGAAGACAGAAAGAGTTTGGAACGCATGCATACTTCCTATTCTGGTGTGAATCAACACTTAGATTGACATCGACCTGAGGGTTGTTATCAAGATTTTTTCCTGGGGATCAACATCAACCCGGGGATCGACATCGATACCCCTCTTCCAGGGGTCGACATCAAGACCAACACTGATACGCTTTTCAGTTGATCGATATAGACTTGAGTAAACAGGGTCATCATCGCCCTTGTTCAGTACTCCTATCGGTTCGGAGAGGTTATGACAGTCTACATCGCACCGGCCATTGTCATCAACGTTCTCTCCCTGTGGTATTCAAGATTTGTTACAGGTCATATCTACCACTCTTAGTGTACATGGCTTGCATTACTACATCACACTTTATCCACATGATATTTCCAAGAGAGTACTTTCGTCCCTCTTTTTTTTTTGTTTTTAGATTTTCATAATGTATAGGCCACTGGCATTTTGTTCATAGCTATAGTGCAAAATAAGACTGAAAAAATATCAAAAATGGTAAAATCAGCAGCATCAAACCCATTTCACTCACTCACTGACTTACTGATTACAGGTGATGACACCCAGGCAGTGGAGGACTTCAAGAGAGCTGCCCGGCTTGGCAGTGAGTTCGCCAAGCACCAGGTGGTGGCACTCAACCCCTATGCCGCACTGTGCAACCAGATGCTAAGTGAGGTCATGCAGAAAGTCCGTCGAGGAGAACAGTAGATCCGCCCAGATTGTGTTTAACTCAAATGACAGGTTAATTTAGTCTCTTTCTCATAGACCCAAAAAGATCCAGGGTAGAATATGTCTTCAGCAACCATGCTTGCCATAAAAGGCGACTATGCTTGTCACATGAGGCAACTAACGGGATCAGATGGTCAGGCTCGCTGGCATGGTTGAATTATGTCGTTGTATCCCAATTAGCTTGGATCGATGCTTATGATGTCAATCACTGGATTGTCGGATTATTTACAGACCACTGTCATATTGCTGGAATATTGCTGAGTGCAGCGTTAAACAACAAAGAAACTAAAGATAGAAGTATGCAATCAGATTTATTGTTTTGTTTCTATATATATATATTTATTCATCAAAGTGACTGTATCGCTAGCTTCAGCATGTGAAGCCGTGCAACCAATGTAAACAAATGGAAATGGAAATAGTTTCTCACGTTTGGGGATAATTTTCCAATGAAATTTATCAATTCTATGACATATGTTTATCAAGATGTGTAGACTTGTCAAAAATGAAACAGATGAAAAACATATGCAATATCTTAAATGGACTTTGTAAGATTTGATTCACTTGGCTGTGGCAGAGGTACTATGCTGGCCGCATAGAAGTCTGGGTAGGAGAGTGCTAAGTGCCTTGGCACTATTTTCTTTATTTATAGCTGTTTCAATGACGGGTCAGACATCGTCAGGCAAGACCATATATATTTTTATGTTGCGTATGTGTGTGATGCTAATGCAGTTGGGGTTGTTTTGAATTTTTTTTTTTGTTTGGGTTTGAAAAGGGTGTTGGTTTTTAGAGACAGTTGTTTTGCTGAAGTGTCTTTCATGTGTGACCAATAGAATATGTTGTTGGGATATCACTTATGTGTGAATTATGAAATATATCTTTATGTGCTTACTTTACAGATTGTCCTGGGGGTATTGCTAGTTCATTCCAGAGTGCATTATGTTTTAAATAGATACAGAGTATTGTGGTGTTATTTGTGACAAGTATTAATATATTATGTTACATATATGCTGTAAAAGGCGATTTTGCTTGTCGTAAGAGGCGACTAATGGAATCAGACAGTCTGGCTCGCTGACTTGGTTGATGCATGTCATTGTATCCTAATTGCGTGGATCAATGCTCATGATGTCAATCACTGGATTGTCTGGTCCAGACTCGATTTTTTGCTGACTGCCATCATATAGCTGGAATATTGCTGAGTGCGGCATTAAACAACAAACAAACATATTTTTGCATGTTAATTCATGTTTTTTAGAGGAAAACTTTGTATACTACTCAACTTGTGATGGAGATATTACTATTATTCCAGGATATTCCAAACTAATACTGACTGTATGTGTAATAAGTGTATCACAGTACCCCCAGTAAAGTTGAGTATTAAACATGCCTTAGACTAACAATTAGTCCCAGAAATAATGTTATCTTTAAATTATATATACATGTATCTACAAAATAATAAATCAAATCCCAGTGGTACCCAGAACAATGCTTAATTTCATTCTAGACTGGATTTATTTTTCTATTTGTGGGTCTGGAGCCAGTCTATGCAGTCCTCAAAGGATGAATTTTATTTATTAGTAATTTTTCAACCTTTTGTTTTTAATTTGTTCAGGTAATAAACTTCAAACAATTACCAAATTAATATTTTTATAGGGTAAATGAATTGGTCTGGTATTGTTGTGACCTGTTCAGCTGACATCTTTATAATATTTATAAGGACGAAATTTGTGAAATTCAGGAGCAGCTGTGTACTCAGAATCGTATTCTTGGTATTTTCAGATACCGATATATTATCCCTTATTTAAGTCATCATGTTCATATATTCCAGATATGTGAGCAATATTATGTTAGCAAAAACCAAGATCTTAGTTCTCGCTACTGCTAAACAAGCAAGAACTAAGACCTGATTTGAATGAGATTGTTTTTCATTCTGCAAATATGAATCTGAATAGTTCATATCAGTGTGGATAAGAATGTTTCAGTTTGTGTATAATGCTTACTGTGGGAAAAAAAGTTCAGTCTTTTCAATATGATTGTTTGTTGATAATATCAGTAAGCCTTGACAAATACAGTATCAGATGTCATATACAACTAAATGTGTTGTTTGTCAGTGCCTTGCATTTACCAAAGATCTTAGTATATGTTTTGTGAACCCTTTCACGGGCAGCTATGTATAACCAAGGTTGATCTGAATAAATTGTTACATATTTGACAGTGTGTTTTCTCCATAAGTTTATCAACCCTTGAAGATCCGGGGTAGAAGACCCCATTCTTGTCGCAAGAGGCGACTAACGGGATCAGGTGGTCAGGCTCGCTGACTTGGTTGATGCATGTCATCGTATCCCAATTGCATGGATCAATGCTCATGATATCAATCACTGGATTGTCTGGTCCAGACTCAATTACTCGTATTTACAGACCACCGTCATATAGATGGAATGTTGCTGAGTGCGGCATTAGACAAACAAACAAAACATAGGATTATCATGTATAATGATAAATTTAATTATTCAAATAGCCATACTTATATGCATCCCACAGAAGTCTGATATTTGTGGGTTTTTTCTTTTTTGCTCTGTGAACAGATAGATTACCAGTTGTTAAGACAACTGACCTCACAAGTAGAGATAATTGTGATAATTTGTACCCCTCCCTTTGAAACGTGCTGTATCTGCCCTTGCACAGGAAGTGATGTCGTGTTAAATATGTATGACATAATATTGAGCAGAGAGTCACATGTCTGAGGAATTGTGTGCCCTGAATACAACAATTTGTCTCACATTAGACTTACACCATAAAATAGGGTCCTACTTCTGTCCTGCTTATCTCTCAAGCATGAAGTTAATGCTGTTTGAGTGCAGGCTCTCTTCAACTGAAGCCCCTCTTATTGAATGGTAAGATATGGAGATTATTAGCCAAGTGTTCTAAAAGTCATATATTATAGAGCGTTAAACATTGTTATATTCCTCATGAATGTTATCTACAACTTGTAATTGTAATCAGGGTAAGAATCTCTGTATGATGTTAATGTTTTTTCTTAAAATAATTGAAGACATTTTTCGTTCTCAGAAATAACTTTTGAAACCATGTAAAACTACAATGCCTGAGTGAACCGCCTCAAGTACAAGTACTATGTAGAGACAAGTGATTTGCAGCACTCACACTGTTTGTCTGTTTGATGTTTAACACCGCACTCAGCAATATTCCAGCTATATGACAGCAGTCTGTAAATAATAAAAATCTGGACCAGACCATCTAGTGATTGACATGATCCACACAATTGGGATACAATACAATAACATGCATCTACCAAGTCAGTGAGCCTGACCACCCGATCCTGTTAAAACTTTTCTGAACATTTTGGATGTCAAAGGTTTTTGAGCAAGTAGGTCTCGCCCTGATGTATAGAAATTCCTAAAGTACAGTAAACTACAGTTACATCGGACTCAAAGGGGCCACTAATTTTAGTTTGTGATAACCGTAGTTCGTTATAAGCATGTATTCAGAATTTATACAACACATGGCCGGGACAAAGAAATATAAATATAATTTGTTATATCAGTCAGTTCGTTAAAAGTGTGTTTGTTATAAACATAGTTTACTGTAGTTCCTGCAAGATGACCTCTGTATATTTCTCATACTGTTTTAACACTTCGATAAGACTTATTTTGATAAATTGATCATATCTTTGTTTGCAGAATGGTATGGTAGTGCAACTTCTCCTCAGTGTGATAATGTACAAGTGACCCAGCCTTGTTGCTAACCTGGCTTGTCCTACAAAATCTTGACACTGATCCTCTAAAGTAGACACCAACGGGCAGCATTACCTTCACCCTTACCTTTCCCCATGACACAAGCAAAACTAAGTCTTCACAATATTGACACTCTGACAAACAATAACAGTCAACTGGGGTCAAATATTTAATAAATAAATTGTGTATTGAAATGCAAATAGTCTACAAACACCATAAATATGTGTAAAAGTGATTGATAATACTGTTTGTTTAGCTATGCAGTGCCTTCAGCCACATGTACAAGAGATCTTAGCGCAAAGATTTGTCCAAGTCCCCTGCAATAACATGGCTTTATGTTGGAGCACTAAGATCCCTCTGCCCAATTAGATCCATGATACATGATATATTACATGTTATATAATACTTGATATAATACATGTTATATATATAATACTTGACACATTAGTTATCTGCGGGATTGACAGGTCAGGTGATACACATGTGTTTCCCCTTTACCATTAATTCACCATGTTGATTTATTCAAATACATATTCTCATATCACATTTCCAGCTTTTGATTAACTTAGAGAATCGTGCATGTCATAAATGTCTGAATTCATACAAGTTCAGATATAATAAACAAAATAGGACATTTTGGCAATATGAACAAGACAGAGAGAAGCCAGTTAAACATTGATAGGACTGGCATCATATGCTACTCAAGAGAAGTTAAGGAACACCCTATTTCTTCTCATGACTAGAGTGCTTCCGTCATGACATGACATGAACAAATCAGGTGTTCCTTAAATCCTTTTAAGTAGTTTACAATACTGCTATGTTAACTACCGCAGACAACATTGACATTGTAAGTTGCTTATAAATGAATAAAATTCACATCACAAACTTGATGAGACTGTTAAATACCATAAACCATATATTGTAAATACAAAAATATCACAGATAAAGCCAGTGGGTGTAGCAAATCAACAACAGTTAATACTGAATAGATGTTAATGTTTGTAAATACCTGTATATACATAATATATGAAAACAAACAGTAAAAGTGCAAAATACTATATATCCAAGGTTATGGTAATTCATAATACTGAATACTGCCACTTCATTCAAAAATATGATTCAATAATACTGTGTTAATACTGTGTGAGCTAATTACCCTAAAGCATGTCATTTGGTGCTGTTGTAAGTACCGGAAACATATACTACCGGTACTCAAAAGAAGTTAAAGAACACATGGTTCTTACATATTATTTTAGTTCATCTGTCATGCCGCGACAGATTAACTATAGTAATATGAAAGAATCAGGATTCTTTATCTTCATTGGAGTAGTGCATATCAGAGGATATTTTGATATAAGCATTCTGATTAGAGCCGGAGAGGTATTATGCTAACAACATTTGAATCCATTGAGCAAATATGTGTACAGTGAAACCCGGTTTATACAGACATGTTCCAAGTGAAATCATACAGATTTACAAACTCTGGATAAATGAAACAAGGGTACAGAGTGTTATTCCCTTGTATATATGCAAGCTTCAAGCAGTACTTGTCCGGAGTGCGGAGTGTCCGGATAAAAGGGGTTGGAATAATGAAGTTTTTTTTCTATAAAACAACACAATAGGTTATTTGGTTTTGAGAACATAAATTAAAATATGGAATGGAGACAAGTTATGGATCTTGCATTGAGCAAAGATTTTAGTTATCGCAATAAAATCAAGATAAACTGAGGATTTTTGGAGAAAATAAGACCATTCAATTTTAGAGAGAGTCAGTGTCTATGTAACATAACATATATAACACTGTAGCTTTTGAGGGAACCAAATATTGATTCAGTAACAACAGATCATAAACTCAACAAATTGAATTTGAGATAAGCACAGTTGACTTGTTAATTTGATGTATTGTCTGACAGACATAAACACAGCAAATCATAACTAAAAGTGCTTGTGTCAGCTAAAACTCAAGTTAAAACATTTGGTATTTTGATTATTCAAGAATTGGTGATCGGGATTGGTAAACCTTCAAATTACCGTTCAGCTAGGTCATTATAACATTAGGGAGATATCTAATGCTGTGCAGCTATTTTAAATATCTAGTAACATAATTAACAATGTGCACATACATCAACTTAAGAATAAAATGGAATTCCGCAAAATCAAATAATCTGAGAAAAACAAATATTAGTACTTGAAGAATTGGATCAATGCTACAAGGGATGTCTAAATATGTAGCCTATAGTTTAACTGTTTTGATTTGAACAGTTCATATATAAAATATATGAAACATTGTAAATTTATGTAATACTGTTAGTTATTGGTTTCCACATAATAACCATTATGTTAATCCTTTATGACATAGATCTTTGATTGTAAAAAACATATGGGAATACTTCACAAAATGTACAGACATGAGACTAGATATAGTGATTTTGAGACAGAGGTCATCTGAACGAATTCAAATGCCAACACACATGTTTTTCTTTCAACATGAGACCAGTGGTATATCACTGGGAAGTTTCTCCGGAGACTTCAAAGATGAAACTTGTCTCAAGCCTAGGTCCTTGTTAGTGTGATTGTACTTGTGGAGAGTTGTGGAGTTCTCGCGTGGGTTGGCAAATCTTGTTGTCACCAGTCCGCTTGCTGATCTGGGGTTGTACGCGGATGTGTAAGTTGAGGTGAAATCCCCTCGTGTTTCGTCAGCAATTTGGTCACTCCAGCGATTTTGAAGTTTCTGATACAAGCCATAGTTGGTGGAAGCTCCTGCAATGCGATTGAATGAGGCAAAGTAAATTTGAAATTTGACATGTTGGTACAGTCTGGAGTGAATGAGTACCAGCTGTGTCTGATGACTGAGAAAGAGTATCTGGCACAGACTGTTATAACACTTAATCTACTGCAAATGATGCAATATTTCATCTTCCTGTGGCCAGGATGTTAACTGACTGAAAAAAGTGCAGTTTCCACCCTTGCCCAACTTGGCTGGCTTTTCCAGGCTCGATCTTAGCACCACCAGTGCCTATTACGAGTTATGCCCCTTCTATGTCCCTCCGATTGACCAATCAGATTCCATCTCACTTAAAACAAAATGGCGATGCCGAGTCAAGACGATCTGATGGATTATCAAAATCACTTTAGCACCTTCATTAAAAACATGAAAAGAATTGCAAAATATCTGTCAATGCCCAGTTGACAGTGCACATGCTTTGCAAATCCTGCAGTCGACAGAAATCTGCACATTGAAATCCATGTTGTTTACAAAAAGGATGTTTGTAGTTCTTTACACAATTTTGATTGGACTATGCATAGACTCGTTAGTACAGCCAAAACGTAACTCAGGAATTCCAGCCCAGTTCGGCAAGGGTGGAAACTGGTCTTTTATAGTCAGTTAACACTCTTGTCTGGGGAAGATGGCAATATTTAGGCTAGTAGACAACCTTTTGACACAGACTGGAACAGTTTTTCCGTTCTACGAAGGCATGTCCACTGGGGAATTTAACCCGGGCCTTAGGCATGATGAGCAAATGCTTTACACTAGGGTACCCCACTGCCCTTCCAATTTTCTAGAGCTAAGACTAAAAACATAAAAATATATCCTGGAAAAATGTGATAAAAAGGGCTACTTCATATGTTATGCTTTAAGAAACATTTTCCTGATTTCTACCTGAAAGGCAGGAAGGTCATGCAGAAAGTCCGTCGAGGAGAACAGTAGATCCACCCAGATTGTGTTTAACTCAAATGACAGGTTAATTTAGTCTCTTTCTCATAGACCCATGAAGATCCAGGGTAGAATAGGTCTTCAGGGCCCACTTGCACAAAGCGATCTTAGCGCTAAGACTATTGTAAGCCTATGTTAAAGTATGGGAGTTACGATCATCTTAGCGCTAAGATTGCTTTGTGCAAGTGGGTCCAGGAACCCATGCCTGCAGTAACAGGCGATTATGCTTATTGTAAGAAGCGACTAATGGGATCGGGTGGTCAGGCTCGCTGGCTTGGTTGATGCATGTCATTGTACCCCAATTGTGTAAATGCTCATGATGTCAATCACTGGATTGTCTGGTCAAGACTTGATTATATACAGACCATCATACAGCTGGAATACTGCTGAGAGTGTGGCATAAACAACAAACAAACTACCTTGTAGAGGATAATCCGACTTCTCCGGTGCCCATGAGAGTTCATGGCTGTTCCAGTTTCTCAGGTCAGGGAGAGTATTTTCCCTCCATCTCCCATTGTAGTGCTCATCATACCAAGAAACCATGTTGTTGGAGTAGCGGTTGCCATGGTGATAAAACAAGTTTTGCTGACCGATTCCATCATTTTTCAAAAGAGCAGAGCGCCTTATGACAACATCTGGACGATGACTTCCAAAGTTTCTGAAGTCGATTCTGTGAGTGCTGTTGTGTGGGGTATTTCCATTCTTAAACTGTAACAGTCACAAAGATTTTCTATCACAAAATGTCAAACATGTATGATAACATGTGATCTCTAACGTTCGTTGATACTATTTTTATTCATAAAAAAACTATTAATTCTTTAACTTACTAATCATGACAAACAACTGTGTTATACAAGGATATGTAGATCTAGGTCTTGTTAACATTAATAAGTAATGCTGATTTGGTGTTCTCACAAAACAAATTATCTGGGCACAAAGAATGATATTGTAGATCTAATCTAGATTCTAGGAGCAATGTCATTTGAGATGGAAGATAAACTTACCACATTGCGCTCTTCTGACCAGTTTCCGATGAGGACCCCTTGTGAATAGCGTTGTTCTATTCTCCAACCTGGTAAATGCCATTTTCTAGGGTCCCCTTGTGCCATCGTGTGCTGTCAGTCTCAGTATACAAGCGAAAATAGCCGAAAGTGTCACTGGAGTTGTATGACAGTGATAGTTGCTGTGAAATTCCTACGCCACACGTGGAATCAAAACAATGGCAAATACGATTTTCGATCAATGCAAATACATAAAATAAATCATAATATCATATTTACTAGCTACAGCGTGCGGACAGTACCTAAATTTATCTCGCATAGAATTGTTTCTTTCCAATAAATGATGGACTATTTTATTTACAGCGGACTTACACGCGTGGTTTGGCGTTGCTATCAACTAGGTTAATCCAAATATATAACTAGGGACGAAACGAAATATTTGGGTGAACTCAATGCTCAACTGGAATAATCCAGGGGAACAGGTTTCTCATCTGTCAATTTGTATAATTTTTACTTTAGAACTTAATAAGTAGTTGCTAGTAGTGAGTGAACAGTGTTTTAACTTCATGCCAGAAGAAAGCGGTTCAGGTCTTCTATCTTACATTAAGGTATCAAAGTACGATCCACACTGCACAGATATTGTCCAACCAGGTTCCTCACCCCCAAAGCGATCTTAGAGGTATATGAGTTACGATAGATAGTCGTGGAGCCAAGATCGCTTGATTACAAGAGGATCCACTCTGTCCCAGTGAGTGAATGTTTAGTGGAACTTGTCACAACCGACAACGCATTGTAAACTCACTTTCTAAATAATCGAGAGACAATTTAACTAAACAAATAAGCAAAGGCGAGTCCCATCTAAGTAACCTACCCGGTATGTTCGAGCTAAAAGGCCGAATAAATTAACACAGAAATTATTATCTTTAATGTACTTGACTATAAAAACACAAGGACACTGTTTGGAATGGGGAAAATCATACATAGTGACATTATTATAATACAAACTTCGTATTCCAGTGCTCATGCTTAGCGATTACGGTCTGCCCGCCCCTGATGTGCTCTAGAACGCAGATTGACTGCGGCGTGAAACAGCATTTATTCACATGTTTCGTCAGGGCGAACTTTTCCTACTTTCATCTTAGAACGTGGTTAGTGAACTTTATATTAACTGCTAATTTTGGAGATGACGGTGATCAAATAATATTATGATAATAAGTCCATTTATAATGCGCCAAATTCAATTCATCAAGTGAATACTCATGTTTGATTGTTTGTTTATTTTTAACGCAGCACTCAGCAATATTCCACCAACATGAGACCCGTGAAGATTCCGGGGTAGAATAGGTCTTCAGCAACCCATGCTTGCCGCAAAAGGTGACTATGCTTGTTGTAAAAGGCGACTAACGGGATCGGGTGGTCAGGCTCGCTGACTTGGTTGATGCATGTCATCGATCCCCAATTGCGCGGATCGATGCTCATGACATTAATCACTGGATTGTCTTGTCCAGACTCGATTATTTACAGACCGCCGTCATATAGCCGCAATATTGCTGAGTGCGGCGTTAAACATCAAACCAACCAACCACCTACAAGACGGCGGTCGGTAAATAATCGAGTCTGGACCAGACAATCCAGTGATTGCCCTCATGACCCTCGATGAAAGGGTGTCTAGCCGGGAGCGCCACATTTCAGAAATGGCTATTGCCGGTAGGGCCACATTTCCAGCTGAGTGCATTTCACCTATTCTAGCGGGTAATTAATTAATCCGATTACCGATACCTTTGAATGAGTGTCCCACATTTAAATTACTAAGCGTGGGGTTCTTTAGAGATACCTTTAAATGAGTATCTCACATTTAAATTACGAAGCGTGGTGTTCTTTAGAGATACCTTTAAATGAGTATCTCACATTTAAATTACGAAGCGTGGTGTTCTTTAGAGATACCTTTAAATGAGTATCTCATATTTAAATTACTAAGCGTGGTGTTCTTTAGAGATCAAAGGCCGTCTTAATTGACATTGAGTTCATCCTGTATTGCGTCCCTCAAGATTCAGCTCCTGAACCAACACCTGAGTGAGATGGAATATGCTGACCACGTGGGCGACCTCCTTCATCTGCAGTTATGATCCATTATGATATTCATATGCTATTCAATATATATCCTTGTTGAATAAGAAATGAGAAAACAAGACTTGTTTTGTTATATACGGTAACCTGTTAGAATCACAAAGCACGTTTTGACAGCATAGCCGCGAGAGCCACATTATACAATCACGCAACCATAACCATTGCCGGGAGCGCCACATCAATTTGGGCTATCTATTTTCGAAATGTGGCGTTGCCGGCCTGTAACCGATGAAAGCAATTGGGATACGATGAAATACATCAGTCAAGTCAACGAGCCTGCCCACCCGATCCCATTAGTCGCCCCTTGCGACAAGCATGGGTTGCTGAAGACCTATTCTGACCCTGATCTCCACGAGGTTAATGTCCATGGCTCTAAACCATCATTACCTTGGAAAATATCGAGTGCAAAACTCCTCCTCGGGATCAGACGTTGATGAATGCAGAAATGGAGGCTCATACCGGGTATATATAGAATACAAAACGAGCTCCCGTGTAATACCAATTTTATGAAACGAGTGAATAGTTGTGGTATCTGACGAGCGAAAGCGAGTCAGATACCACAACTATCCACGAGTTTCATAAAATTGGTTTTACACGGGAGCGAGTTTAGTATTTTATTTATTACTTGCAATTTATAACGTTTTTTGAATTATACTGTTGAGTATGAATAGGCTGACACCTACATGATCCACGACATAGTCCAATTGAGTTTAACAGAATAATACTTCAAACACGTCAAAAGTTGAAACGTATGAATTTCATACCATACAACGGGTCTACCTTTAGAATTCACAAAATTATCGTAGGGCTAAGACTTTCGCATCTCACATACTTTAACTTAGACCAACGACTGTCGTTGGGCTACAATACGATCGCCTTGTGGAACGGGCCTTGCACAAAGTTTTCAATAACGTCACAATACCCGATGACGTAATTTGTGGAATTTTGATGCAAGATCCATCGGCGAAACAATGCCATGTGACGTCAGCCTAGCAACAAGGTTGCTGGGGTCATCGAGTGTGCATAAGCTCCTCTCAGTGATTATCAACTCCACACGCAATGTCGTTGAATAAGCCAAGGGATGTTGAGAGCTTTCAATATTTGTTCGTGAAACGTTCCGAGAGTACACAAGCACGCGTTTTGGTATTACACAATGTGTAATAAAGCTGTATGTTTATTAAACGGGTGATCTCTTCACGGGCAAGTAATAAATGACGGTATAGCGGGGTATAAAATTAAAACTCACCCCTGCTATTCAATAAACGGACACGGGGTGAAGGTTTGAGTTTGTTCCGTTGTATAACCCAATATTCATGCTTCACGAGTTAGTGTGTGAGTGAGTATGGTTTAACGCCGCTTTTAGCAATATTCCAGCAATAAGATGCCGAGGGACACCAGAAAATGGGCTTTACACATTGTACCCATGTAGGAAATAAAACCCGGTCTTCGGCGTGAAGAGCGAACGTTTTAACCCCTAGGCTACCCCAATCTCATTAAAATCAGATCTTAGTTTTCGCTGTCGCTAAACATTGTTCAGCGGCAGCGAGAACTTAGATCTGATTTTAATGAGATTGTAGGCCACCCCATCCATATTTGACGCTTGGATTTGATCGTCGCCGTCAAGCTCCTCACAGCGATAACCCGTTCACGGAGCTCTCTTATAGAGTGTAAGGAAGGTGTCTCGCGCTTGGAAGGAGCTCGCTTCGCCGTGGTCAAAGGGAAGTAACTAAAAATCCTGTTAACCATTTGCTAAGCAGACCAAGCTCCTTCCCAGCGCGTGACACCTTCGTTACACTCTCGGTATAGAGAGCTCCGCGAACAGACTATCGCTGTGAGGAGCTTGTAAGCAGACTTTGGAAGGGACATAACTCTTTATTTGTTTACGTGGTTAGCTCCCTTAGACTGCTGTGCGTGGAGTTTCAATCGAGAGGCTTTGCTGAGTTAAGAAAAGTAAGTTAACACTTGTAAAAATATTATTACGTCCCTTTGAACATAAAGATTCAAGTTCCATACTCAAACCACCTCTCTATGTCAGAATTAACTGCAAATTGAATCCTTGGTGAGTCATCATTATTTAATCAAATGAGTGAGTGAGTGAGTTGGGTTTAACGCCGCTTTTAACAGTATTCAAGTTATATAGCGGCGTGTCAGCTTTATGTGGGAGGAAAGCTCGAAGTGATGTAGGTCTTAGACGTTTACCACTTTGGTGAAACCCACGAGCACGGGTATGGTGCTGACAAACCTAGAAACATAATCGGGGCGAACCGGGATTCGAACCCACAATCATAGGTTTCTGGCATGTCAAAGGGACGCAACTCTGCACAGCGAATCGCGGCGCCTTAGACGACTGGGCCACCCGTGCCCCCTTTTAATCAAATGAGATAAATATAAGATAGGACCATATTTTACTGGTCTAAGCTTTAAAATACATAGAAACCTAACCTCAAAGCCTCATACCTTTCATTCTGAGCTGTAAGGGAGACAGGGTCTTAGATCTCCTGTCAGCCAGCTTCCCTTGTCAACTTAGGATTACTCTCTTCACAGAGTGTATAATTAATCTTGTTGCATTGTTTATGGGGGTAGCTAAAAGCTGCCACAATTCGTCCAGAGTTGCATCCTTTAGCCATGCCAGAATCTGATGGTTGCAGGTTTGAATCCCAACTTTGCCTTGCTTGATGTATCTTTGTTTGGCATAACCACACCCATGCTTGTGGGTTTCACTAAAACTTTTGGGTTTCACTAAAGTGGTAAACTTCTACAGCCTACATCAATACAGGATTTGATGGCACAAAAGTTATTTGGCATATTTTTTACAGTTTCATTAGCTGTAAAAAATATGCCAAATAACTTTTGTGCATGAAGCTAGAACAAAAATATTGTAATCATTAAGAAACGAGAAAACAGTTTCAAAAACAGTAGCATCTTATTTTATTTGTTCCCTGCATTCTTTGCGATACATGTATCCTAAATCTAATTCCAGCACACACATACATTCTCAATCAGCTACAGATAGTTCATGATAAACGCCATCTTCCCAAGGCAAGGGAGTTTGCTTACTATAAAAATCCAGGTTTCCACCCTTGCCGAATTATGCTGGAATAATGGAGTTATATTTTGGCTGGACAAACGAGTCTATGCATGGTCCAATCAAAATCTCATAACGAAATCGACAACCGGTTCGTAATCTGCCATGAAGATTTCGGTCGATTGCAGGATTTGCAAAGGATGTGTACCATCAACTCAGCATCAACAGACATTTTCCAAATCAACAGACATTTTCCAAATCTTTCCATGTTTTTAATCACCGTGCTCACGTGATTTGATGCACTTCACGAAGTAAGACATGTTTTATTACAATATAGATCTTGATTATCAATCATATCATCTTGACTGGGCAACAACATTTTGTTTGAAGCATTTGCAAGTGATATGAGAGGGAGGTGGAATCTGATTGGTCAATAGTCGGGACATAGAAGGGACGTAACTCGTAATAGCCACTGGTCGCGCTACGATTGAGCCCTGAAATTCCAGTCTAGTTCGGCAAGGGTGGAAAATGGACTTTTGCAGTCCTTGCCTAGGGAAGATGGATAAATGTCTCACTTTGTCATCTTCTTACATTAAGGTATCAAAGTACGATCCACACTGCACAGATATTTTCCGACCAGACCCTCACCCACAAAGCGATCTTTGAGGTACATGTTCCATAAGCCAATGTAACAGAATGTGAGTTACGACAGTCGTGGAGCCAAGATCGCTTGGTCGCAAGAGGATCCACTCTGTCCCAGTGAGTGAATGAATGTTGTTTTCAGTCTGACAGCAATGTTCAAAATTACAGCAAATATTCGGTTCTATTCTTATTATATTATATCATACATTTACATACAGCACTTATCCAGAATCTTTGGACAGCTGAGGTATCGAATTTGAGTAAAATAGGGCCCCATTTAACATACATGGAACGGAGCCAAAACATTAATGAGATTGCAAAGAACAGATGATCCAACATGTTCCTTTTCATGAAACACACACAGGCATGTACAATCACTATGGGCAAGATTGTCTTTTGTAACCATGGAAACATCCAAATCATTGGAATGATCTCCACTCAAATCTTTGGCTGTCTTTATGAAGTTGGTTATCCATTTGTATACATGTAAATCTTCTTGTCTTAGATTTACACAGGAACCTTATCAGAACCAATTAGGAGCAAGTGGCCACAGGCACCAATTCGGCAGTCTAGACACAGCTACTAGACTGTAGAGGAGTCAACTTGGCACAGATGAAAGGTACACTCCACATAGTAGCTGAATACTGTAGCTCTGTTACACAGTTATCCACATCAAGTGTTGTGGTGCTGTTTCACTGAGGGTGGGGTGAGGCAGTGTCAGGTTTACTTGTTGGGTACAGGGTGGTGAACCTCCTGATGGCCTCCGCCTTGGCTGCCTTGGCCTTTTCTGGGTCCACACTCTGGACAGCCAGTTCCAGCTCCGCCTTGTGCTTACAATCATGCTCACAGTATGCCTGGAAAAACAACCAGTGAGTGAGGGGTACTTAGAATAATACGTTTTTAACCCCTAAAATATTATATTAATGATACCAAAACACTCTCGGCTGATAATCTCATAACATGATACAAGAGAGAAATCTGTACATGATATTTTCATATTCCCTCTTCAATTGCCTGCCACAAAAATTACATTGTTGCGAGCTGTTTTTCTTGAAAGACAAAATTCAGACTCATTGTTTTAAATAAAAAGAAAATCTGGTTTTGTAGCAGTAGCTGAAAAAATATCTAATCTCGTAACAAAATCCCAGGACCATCGCTCCCTTAACACTACAGTCAGTATTATTCCACCAATATCAGTCTGATAAACCAGCGATTGATATAATGAGCACTGTTCCACTCAGTCATGTTACAATGACATACAGTCAACACTGACAAGCCTGACCACCACGTCTGTTGAGTCAACTCCTCTGACAATGAGTGAGTTGGGTTTAACGCTGCATTTAACAGTATTCCAGTTATATCACGGCGTGTCAGCTTAATGTGAGAGGCAAGCCCAAAGAGATGCAGGTCTCAGACGTTTACCACTTCGGTGAAACCCACAAGTACGGATATGGTGCTGACAAACATAATCGGGCCGAACCGCGATTCAAACCCACAATCATAAGTTTCTGGCATGCCCAAGGGATGCAACTCTGCACAGCAAATTGCGGCATCTTAGACGACCCGACCCCTATGCCACCTCCTCTTACATGCATAGGTTACTGGGGAACAATCTGAATCCAGGTCTCGACCGTGTGAAAGCATGAGAATGTATGGACATAGACAATATTACATAAATACATACCTTAATCACATCAATGCCTTCTAAACGACTCTCTCTGCAGTATTCCGCAGACACGGAGTGTTGATGTACTTGGTGGTAAATGTTGACCAAGTAAGCTGCATCATGAGCTCTGAAATATATTACAATAATAATGATAATATTAACAACAATAACAAAATATAAGTGACAAAACCTTTTCCATAGCCACAAACAATTTCTGATAAAAGCAGAGATAATTGAACTCTATCATGAGCATGTGTTTATGAATCACTATCAAATAGTGATACCAGGTGTGGCACCCATCACAAACACATGCAAAGGCAAGTTAAATTCTCCAAGGTGGCATTGAACAACACCAGGAACAGATCAGAGCAACAATCATGTCTCATTCAATCTGCAGTCCTAAATGAAGTTCTGCTACACGAATTGACTGGATAGTGTCGGTTGGTGGAGAGTGTGGGTGGGTGGAGAGTGCGGGTGGGTGGGTGGAGTGAGTGAGTGAGTATGGTTTAATGCAATGTTCCAGCAATATCACGGCGGGTAACTCCAGAAATGGGCTTCCCACATTGTTTGAGCTACACCTTTTCCACTTTCATAAAGAACTTTTGCAAATATAGCATTACCTGGTCAAATACATGTTATACTAGTTTCTGTCCTCTGTGAACATTACATTCTAGGGGCCCCATAACCCAAATATATGGTCAGGGGTTCCTTGATTACAATAGTGCTTTGAGCAGTATTCCAGGTCAATCACGGCGTGTCAGCTAACTGTGGAAGGAAACCCTGAAGTGATGCAGGACTCAGACGTTACCACCTTGGTGAAACCCACGAGCACTGGTATGGTGCTCACAAACCTAGAAAAATAATCGGGGCGAACCAGAATTCAAACCCACAATCAGAGGTTTCTGGTATGTCCAAGAAAAATGCACAGCGAATTGTCCTTGATTAAAATGCCAGAAGCCAAAACATGAGATTCCAGGCCCCCTCAACTGTATTATAAAACGGATTAGCACTCAAATACTAAGTTGGCAGAGCCCAAAAATGTCACTACAAACACATTAAAACAGATTCAGACACTCAAATTTAGTAACAATTACATTCCGACATCAGCTTATTTTCACACCTCTACCCACACCCTCCTCTATCTCCCTACCCCCTACTGTGTCTGGTGAGGGACATCACACAAGAATACTTACACCACACCCTCATCTACTGTATTTCCTTGAGTATAGTGCGCACCAAGTATAAAAAAGTGTGCAAATAAAAAATAAAAAATATGGTATCTCCCTCCCATTCCTGTGTCTGGTGAGGGACATCACACAAGAATACTTACAGGCTCCTCAGCAGCATGTCAATCAGTAGGTAGTCTATCTGTTTGTTCCAGACTAAATGGAATGCCATGGGTCCGAAATGCCTTGTTGATCGAAGATCATCATAATCTCGTTGATCGTGGACAGACTGGTAACACCTGTGAGTGATCTGCAACAGAGAGTGAGTAAATGGGTAGGTGGAGAGTGTGGGTTGGTGGAGAGTGTGGGTGGGTGGATAGTGTGTGGGTGGGTGGAGAGTGTGTGGGTGGGTGGAGAGTGTGTGGGTGGGTGGAGAGTTTGTGTAGGTGGAAAGTGTGTAGGTGGAAAGTGTGGGTGGGTGGAGAGTGTGTGGGTGGGTGGAGAGTGTGTGGGTGGGTGGGTGGAGAGTGTGTGTAGGTGGAAAGTGTGTAGGTGGAAAGTGTGGGTGTGTGGAGAGTGTGTGGGTGGGTGGGTGGGTGGAGAGTGTGTGTAGGTGGAAAGTGTGGGTGGGTGGAGAGTGTGTGGGTGGGTGGGTGGAGAGTGTGTGTAGGTGGAAAGTGTGTAGGTGGAAAGTGTGGGTGGGTGGAGAGTGTGTGGGTGGGTGGGTGGAGAGTGTGTGTAGGTGGAGAGTGTGGGTGGGTGGAGAGTGTGTGGGTGGGTGGGTGGAGAGTGTGTGTAGGTGGAAAGTGTGTAGGTGGAAAGTGTGGGTGGGTGGAGAGTGTGTGGGTGGGTGGGTGGAGAGTGTGTGTAGGTGGAGAGTGTGGGTGGGTGGAGAGTGTGTGGGTGGGTGGGTGGAGAGTGTGTGTAGGTGGAAAGTGTGGGTGGGTGGAGAGTATGTGGGTGGGTGGGTGGAGAGTGTGTGTAGGTGGAAAGTGTGGGTGGGTGGAGAGTGTGTGGGTGGGTGGGTGGAGAGTGTGTGTAGGTGGAAAGTGTGGGTGGGTGGAGAGTATGTGGGTGGGTGGGTGGAGAGTGTGTGTAGGTGGAGAGTGTGGGTGGGTGGAGAGTGTGTGGGTGGAGGGTGTGTGTAGGTGGAGAGTGTGTGTGGGTGGAGAGTGTGTGGGTGGAGGGTGTGTGTAGGTGGAGATTGTGGGTGGGTGGAGAGTGTGTGGGTGGAGGGTGTGTGTAGGTGGAGAGTGTGGGTGGGTGGAGAGTGTGTGTAGGTGGAAAGTGTGTAGGTGGAAAGTGTGGGTGGGTGGAGAGTGTGTGGGTGGAGGGTGTGTGTAGGTGGAGAGTGTGGGTGGGTGGAGAGTGTGTGGGTGGAGGGTGTGTGTAGGTGGAAAGTGTGGGTGGGTGGAGAGTGTGTGGGTGGAGGGTGTGTGTAGGTGGAGAGTGTGGGTGGGTGGAGAGTGTGTGTAGGTGGAAAGTGTGTAGGTGGAAAGTGTGGGTGGGTGGAGAGTGTGTGGGTGGGTGGGTGGAGAGTGTGTGTAGGTGGAGAGTGTGGGTGGGTGGAGAGTGTGTGGGTGGGTGGGTGGAGAGTGTGTGTAGGTGGAAAGTGTGGGTGGGTGGAGAGTGTGTGGGTGGAGGGTGTGTGTAGGTGGAGAGTGTGGGTGGGTGGAGAGTGTGTGGGTGGAGGGTGTGTGTAGGTGGAGAGTGTGGGTGGGTGGAGAGTGTGTGGGTGGAGGGTGTGTGTAGGTGGAGAGTGTGGGTGGGTGGAGAGTGGGTGGGTGGGTGGGTGGAGAGTGTGTGTAGGTGGAAAGTGTGGGTGGGTGGAGAGTATGTGGGTGGGTGGGTGGAGAGTGTGTGTAGGTGGAAAGTGTGGGTGGGTGGAGAGTGTGTGTAGGTGGAAAGTGTGGGTGGGTGGAGAGTGTGTGGGTGGGTGGAGAGTGTGGGGGACTGGATAGTGTGGGTGGGTGGACAGTGTAGGAAAGTGAGTGTGTGTGTGTATGGGTGAGTGAGAGAGAGAGATGACATCGGTAGTCAACAGACAAGTCAAGTCTTTTTTTTTGTTTCCATTGTCAGTGTAAGGGATGCATTTTTGATAGTGTCGTTGGCAAGACAGGCCATAGATTTGACTTACAAAATTTGGGCAAGTGAATTTAATCAATTAATAAACTGTGTCACCTTGTGTGACTGTACTAGGGGAATAACTCTGTACCTACCCTAATGTAGTCCGGGTGATCAGGCTCAAACTGAACACATGCCTTGTCCAGTATGTAGGCGTATTTCTTCCTGTTCAATAAATTCTGCAACAAAATTAACAGACTATTTACAGGAATCTGAGTATTCTGTATATTATATACACAGCCTGCTGTTTGCTTAATATTGGTATCAATAACACAGGGTAAAACAGGTTGTATGAATGACCCCAGACCAAAGTCGCCAACTCAGAGTTATCTCCCTTGGATATTCCTCTCGTTTCCTTGACGGCAGGCCGGGAACACAGGTAACAGGTACATAGAGGCAGCCTGGCAGGCCAGGAACACAGGTAGCAGGTACATAGATGCAGCCTGGCAGGCAAGGGAACACAGGTACATAGAGGCAGCCTGGCAGGCCAGGAACACAGGTAGCAGGTACAAAGATGCAGCCTGGCAGGCCAGGAACACAGGTAACAGGTACATAGATGCAGCCTGGCAGGCCAGGAACACAGGTAACAGGTACATAGATGCAGCCTGGCAGGCCAGGAACACAGGTACATAGATGCAGCCTGGCAGGCCAGGAACACAGGTACATAGATGCAGCCTGGCAGGCCAGGAACACAGGTAACAGGTACATAGATGCAGCCTGGCAGGCCAGGGAACACAGGTACATAGATGCAGCCTGGCAGGCCAGGAACACAGGTAACAGGTACATAGATGCAGCCTGGCAGGCCAGGAACACAGGTACATAGATGCAGCCTGGCAGGCCAGGAACACAGGTAACAGGTACATAGATGCAGCCTGGCAGGCCAGGAACACAGGTGACAGGTACATAGATGCAGCCTGGCAGGCCAGGAACACAGGTAACAGGTACATAGATGCAGCCTGGCAGGCCAGGAACACAGGTGACAGGTACATAGATGCAGCCTGGCAGGCCAGGAACACAGGTAACAGGTACATAGAGGCAGCCTGGCAGGCCAGGAACACAGGTAACAGGTACATAGATGCAGCCTGGCAGGCCAGGAACACAGGTACATAGATACAGCCTGGCAGGCCAGGAACACAGGTTACAGGTACATAGAGGTAGCCTGGCAGGCCAGGAACACAGGTGACAGGTACATAGATGCAGCCTGGCAGGCCAGGAACACAGGTAACAGGTACATAGATGCAGCCTGGCAGGCCAGGAACACAGGTAACAGGTACATAGAGGCAGCCTGGCAGGCCAGGAACACAGGTAACAGGTACATAGATGCAGCCTGGCAGGCCAGGAACACAGGTACATAGATGCAGCCTGGCAGGCCAGGAACACAGGTAACAGGTACATAGAGGCAGCCTGGCAGGCCAGGAACACAGGTAACAGGTACATAGATGCAGCCTGGCAGGCCAGGAACACAGGTGACAGGTACATAGATGCAGCCAGGCAGGCCAGGAACACAGGTACATAGATGCAGCCTGGCAGGCCAGGAACACAGGTAACAGGTACATAGATGCAGCCTGGCAGGCCAGGAACACAGGTTACAGGTACAAAGATACAGCCTGGCAGGCCAGGAACACAGGTAACAGGTACATAGATGCAGCCTGGCAGGCCAGGAACACAGGTAACAGGTACATAGATGCAGCCTGGCAGGCCAGGAACACAGGTTAAAGGTACATAGAGGCAGCCTGGCAGGCCAGGAACACAGGTAACAGGTACATAGATGCAGCCTGGCAGGCCAGGAACACAGGTAACAGGTACATAGAGGCAGCCTGGCAGGCCAGGAACACAGGTAACAGGTACATAGAGGTAGCCAGGCAGGCCAGGAACACAGGTAACAGGTACATAGAGGCAGCCTGGCAGGCCAGGAACACAGGTAACAGGTACATAGATGCAGCCTGGCAGGCCAGGAACACAGGTAACAGGTACATAGATGCAGCCTGGCAGGCCAGGAACATAGGTAACAGGTACATAGAGGCAGCCTGGCAGGTCAGGAACACAGGTAACAGGTACATAGATGCAGCCTGGCAGGCCAGGAACACAGGTTACAGGTACATAGATACAGCCTGGCAGGCCAGGAACACAGGTAACAGGTACATAGAGGCAGCCTGGCAGGTCAGGAACACAGGTAACAGGTACATAGAGGCAGCCTGGCAGGCCAAGAACACAGGTAACAGGTACATAGATGCAGCCTGGCAGGCCTCCTAACACAGGTACATAGAGGCAGCCTGGCAGGCCAAGAACACAGGAAACAGAGGTACATAGATAAAGCCTGGCAGGCCGGGAACACAGGAGCACCAGCAGGTGATGGTGCAAGAATCAACTCCAGTTTTCTCACCTCCAGGTTTTTCTCCAGAAACATCTGTGGCATCACCAGCATCCTGCCTTCCCGGGGGTTGTAGATCTGGTTGATCTTGTCTCGTTCTTCCCATGATGCCTTTCTCAAAGTTCCGCTTGGATCGCGGACAACAATCAAACGGCTCTAAAACAGCATGAACATACACATTATTAGTGGAATATTTGAAAACCGCGTGGTTTTGCCTGCTGACATGTGTAACACAGAGTTCAATGGCAACAACACTTCAGGCTGTAACTCACTCACCCTGTCTGACACACCAAAGGTGATGTCTGTGAACACCAGTTTGGACGTCTCCAGCCCCTCCAGATCTGGATCGTGGGTCAACACTTCCGTGATGGGCAGTCTCACCCTCATGTAGGGGGGCATCTGTAGCCGCTGCTTGGCTCGTCTCAGTGCCTTCTCTCCTATCTGCAAACCACACAACATCAAACAATGTAATAAAGACAATCTCACACTCATGAGGGGAGGTGAAATGGAGTTTAACGTCTCGTCCAAGATTATTGCACTTATTTATAGCGGCGTGCATGTACGTGTGTGTGTGTGTGGCTGCTTGTACTAATTCTACTGATGCCGATTTAAAGTTCCAGCACACTGAGATACCATGCCACAGTTTAACATGAATACCCCACTCAGACACAGTATACTGAATCCGAGCTGACCAGTCCTTGTTTTAACCCCTTAAATGCTAAGCACCAGGCGGGTAACAAAAAGTACCATCTTTTTTATTAAGTTTTAACGTCTTTTGGTATGACGTGGCCGGGGATCAAACCTCGGACGCTCTACCACTGGACCACGGAGGCGGTCTCTTGTGTCTCTTGTTATCAAATATACCAACATGAGCCGATAACATTTTAAAACTCTGACGGTGCGTTTCCATTTATCATCCAGAATCATTTGTCTAAAACGTATGGCTAACCTGTTGCAGTGGCAGAGATTAGTGATCTCATTAGATTGGTTATAGTGTGTTAACATGTCCCGACAACATGGACTGTTGTTCACAATCACTGGATTTTTTATAGGTTGCTGTCGTATAGCTTGAATTTTGCGGAGTGCGATTTAAACAACAAACCAAATCATCACCATACTGACCTGCTCCAATTCTTCATCTGTCAAAAGCTTATACTTCGGTTTGGAGAGAGGTGTGGGTCGAGGTTGAGTGATCTTCATAATATCAAAACCAGTGATTCTTCTGAGCAGTCTCTGGATGTCATGATTCAAAAAGACTTTAAATGGATCTTTCTCCTCTTGCTCACTTGAAGAATAGAAGGCAGCTAAAAGAAACACACAGAAAGAGATAAAAGCTATCTGCTTTAACGTTGAATTCGTTTCAGTAGTATTGAAACCGACTAAAATTGATTTTACCTTGGATTACCATGATAACATTGGACTGATTTGGGAGTGATTGGGAGGAAATCCACAGGCACAGGTATGGTGCTGACAATCCTAGAAACATAATCAGGGCGAACTGGGATTCCAACCCACTATCATAGGTGTCAAGTGTGCCCAAGGTATGCAACTCTGCACAGCTAATTCCAGCCGCACCTGATTTGGGAAGTATTTGCTAAAGGGTGTGAAACAACTTAGGATCTGCAAGGGGCTTTAACAATACAAAGCAGAGATAGACTTAAGGAACTTTTAACTTGCTTTGTTTGTTTGTTTGTTGTTTTACGCCACACTCAGCAATATTCCAGCTATATGATGGCAGTCTGTAAAAAAATAAAGTCTGGACCAGACAATCTAGTGATTGACATCATGATCATCGATCTATGCAACTGGGATACGATGACATGCATCAGTGAGCCTGACCACCCCATCCTGTTAGTCGCCTCTTACGACAAACATAGTCGCCTTTATTGGCAAGCATGGGTTGCTGAAGAATTATTCTCCCCCGGATCTTCACGGGTGTCATTTAACTTGCACTGACATGAAAACCAACTTGCATCAGACAAAACCAGATTGCACACTGGTCCTACGAACTTATCAAAGTTGCAATAGACATGATGGATGCATAAACTCGTCTAAATAAATAAGAGCTCTCAGAGCTCTATTGAGTGTGTCATGATTTTCCATAAATTAATTATGTATTGCTGTAAAACATAATAGGAACATGTGCACATAATCTTGGAAGTACCCACAGTTTGATGACGTCAAGCCCATGAAAGCATGACAAAGTACACATAACACAGGGAATAGTGATGGTGTGTGATAGTGAGATGGGTTTAACGCCGCTTTTAACAGTATTCCAGTTATATAGCGGCGTGTCAGCTTAATGTGGGAGGAAAGCCCGAAGTGATGCAGGTCTCAGAGGTTTACCACTTCAGTGAAACCCCCCATCACGGGTATGTTGCTGACAAACCTAGAAACATAATCAGGGCGAAACCAGGATCCGACCCACAATCACAGGTTTCGTGCGTAACCAAGGGACGCAACTCTGCACAATGAATTGTCCGCCTTAGACGACTGGGCCACCCGTGCCCCCGATGTTGTGTGATAGATAAAGCTTAGGGGTATTGAGTGTGTTCAGAGATCGGTGTTTTAAGGCTTAGTCCAGAGACCAAAAACAGAGGGATGGGCCTCCGGGCTAGTTGGCAACCGATCACTGCCTAAGCAGCACTTTCACGTGAAACTATGCAGGATTCAAAGATTAACAAGCGTGGGTTTCGTGAATTGACTAATCAGATGTCTGAACGAGTGACATTGAGAGAGCTTGTCTATCGCATATACAGTATGGTGTAAATCATCATGTGTAGTTGTGTACTCGGTCGCAATGTTCAAACCACTATGGAACATCTGTGTTAGGCTAGTTTGGTAAGGGATACAGGGAGGTTCGTATGGTACATAGCTGTAGTACCCTGAACGACAAAGGTCCATCAGTGTTACTTTCAGTCATTTGATTTCATTGAAACAGCAGACGCCCAGGGCCTTTACCAACAGAAAATATTGAGTTAATGAAGATAGCCCCACTATAACACATTAACGCAACCTTGCAATGTAGGTGTGCTGTTGAAAACTGTTGATCTTAACTGTGCACCAACGGGCTGACATCGTCTTAAACACCGAAGTACTTGACTGCTAACAGCGCACATGACTTTATCCAAGGGCGCAGCCATCTTGAAAACCTCGCTGCATTCAAAAGTCATAAATAAACACGAAACGAAAATTGATTTGGCCTGCAAAGACAACTATCGATCGCTATTATTTGTCAAATGTGAAGACAGAATATATTTGCAGGAGTATATTTATAAACGTGGCTATAAAATCAATGACGTAATTCAGTATGATATTGGAGGGAAATAAGCTGTGATGCAGTTGGATATATTGAGGCCCCTTTGGGTTGTAATAAGTAAAACAGACAAGGTTGACTTATGGATCAAGATTTATTTGTTTGTTTGTTGTTTAATGCAGCACTCAGCAATATTCCAGGTACATGACGGCGGTCTGTTAGTAATCGAGTCTGGACCAGACAATCATGTGATTGACATCATGAGCATCAATCTACCCAATTGGGATACGATGACATGTATCAACCAAGTCAGCGAGCCTGACCACATCCCGTTCGTCGCCTCTTACGGCATGCATGGGTTGCTGAAGACCTATTCGACCCCGGATCTTCACGGGTCTATGGATCAAGAACTGGGTAGGACATGATTATGTACAATGTAGTATAGCTAGGTATGATGATACAATAATTAGATCCCGTGACGTTTATTTGATTAAAGTATAACATATGTTTCAATGTGTTCTTTGTACGTCAATGTAACGAAAAAATGGAAAAAATTGTTCAAGCCTGAGATTTCTTTGCGAAAAACATTTTTTTACCAAAAATCCATTATGGCCACCAAAATATATATAACTAGTTTTATTTCAGGTCCTGTCATAGGAGGATTTTGATTTTTTTAAATGTCATTACATTATGCTATTCATTGATGCAGTTTATCCAGTACTGAACTTACCTCATGGCTTGACACGTGTTTAATGGGCCAACATCAACAATGGCAGACCATCTTGGTCCCAGATGAAAGTCAATTTTGTGTGGTTCGTTCTAATGGCCGTTCTAATGAGAGTGTTGCCACGGTATAGTGAACGGTAGATTGACAGCTGCGTTCTGGAACCAAACGCCAGGGGAGATTGGAATGAGTGCTCTTGTCATTTATATATAAAAAAAATGTTTGTAGGGCAAATGGCGTGAGAACGCAACGCTTCATTCATCAGTTTGTGAGGTCGGAGGAAGTTCACTGCCTCAGCCAGACATCCAGATCTTCAATTTAAGCATGATAACATCGTCACCTTGTCCCTCGCAGAAGGAATCAGGGGAGGTTCACCCAAAAAATATGACAGCCTCTAAGGAAGGGTCATAAAAAATAATACACATATTTGGGGAGGGTCGTGAATTGATAAAAAAGTTTGTAATAAAAGTGATTTTGCTTGTCGTCTTTTCGGGAGGGTCATAGAAAAAAGTACAAGGGGTCTTCAACAAATGACAAGCGGGAGGGTAATTATTTTCAGTACATTAGCGCTTCAAACACACTCTGAGATTCTCCGCAGGTTCTGAATGTCCCAGGTAAATGGGTCTCCTTTTCAATTTAAATGTGCTTGCTTGTTGCTAAGAAAATTATGGGGCAACTCCAATCTCTAACTTAACTACTGACTCCCACAGCATTGGTTTAACGGTACTTTATGATATGTTGATGTTGCCAATCAAATTTTATCAAAATATTGGGAAGTTATGAAAACAACATGAATTTAGAAACTTTTTTCGTGCTTCTTTTGACTCTTAGCATATACTTCTTGATCTGGCAGTATTATACCTGGCTCGTGGGTTGCACAACAGAGGTTAACGACGTGAAGATCCCAGTTATAATTGGTCCCCAGCAACCCATACTTGTCGTAAGAGGCGACTTATGGGATCGGAAGCTGAGGTTAGCTGCCTTAGTTGATGTATGTAATCGTGTCCCAGCTGCGTAGATCGATGCTCATGATGTCAATCACTGGATTGTCTGGTCCATACTCGATCACTTACAGACCGACGTCATATAGCTTGAGTATTGCTCAATGCGGAGAAACATACAAACAAAATAGGCTTAATGAAATGTGTACAACTTGCAACAGTGTATATGTTCCTTCTATCCAGCGTTCTATTACTGAAACGTTTTTTAAAGACTTTAAACCGAACCCAGTACTTAAGTATTTCTTTACGATGTAGTCGGTGGGGCAGCCTAGTGGATAAAGCGTTCGCTCGTCACGCCGATAGTCTGGGTTTCTATTCCCAACATGCATGGGTACAATACGTGAAGCTCATTTCGGGTTTACCCGCCGAGACATTGCTGGAATGTGGCTAAAATAGGGGTAAAAACATTCTCACTCGTTCTTTACGATGTATACTTATTGTCCGTTTCTTTATTTTCATTACTTCATCAAACTTTCACTAAGACGTTGCTAAGGATATATGGAATCGCCTAAGAAAAAGGCTTATAAACAAAACAACGATACGTATGTGCGTATTTGGGCGCGTTCGTGCGTGCTGATGTGCAGGCTTGCCCTGGGATTTAAAAACAATACATTCGATACGCGTGTGTGTGCGTGTATGTGTATGCATGCGTGCATGTGTGCGTTACCAACCTGTTGAGAATAAAACATATTTGGTACAATGGTCACTAAGCTGGTACCCGAATATATTCCCGGGACCCCCAAAATTCATTACCGTGTTCCCAGGACTCGCAACTGCACAGGCTTAGGTAAATCCCCGCGACACCATTGCTGGGATGATCGCTCGAAGTCACTGTGTTCACGCAGTAAACGTTCATCACATAAGAGTATTGCTTCATATGGATGTCCGTTCCCGTGTTTTTCCAGGTGAACAATTAACTTGCCTTTGCGTGTGTTTGTTACTGGTGCTACCGTTGGGGCAGGTTGATAATAATACAGAAACTACATAAAACATATAAATAACAAAAGAAGGTATACACCTATGTTAGACGGTGGCTAAAAATGAAACTAACAAGAAATGGTTATTCGATGGTGATGTATTTGATACGGGTATCATCGTTGTGTTTGGGCCTTACCTATGTGGTGTTTCGGTGACAGTTTTCAGTCTATAGTAACGTTATGACAACGTTTGAAATGCTTTGTCAAATCCAATTTTCGTATGTATACAGTTAACATTGACAGCAACCGCTAGTGCTTGCGTCGCTGGCTTACAGCTAGAAGTACACAATAATGGCATTGATGTAAAAACACCCACGTGTCACAATAACCATTAAACTTTCAACTCCATATTTCAATGTTTAACTGAAGCATGTGACAGACCTTGTCATGTGTCAGACGGCCGCCGTGGTCTATTGGTTGAGCGTCCGCCCGGAGAGCCAAAAGACGTTAAAAGATGGTACTTGTTGTTGCCCTGTCAGGCGCTTGGCATTAAGGGGCCAAAACAAGGCATGGTCGGCTCGGAGTCTGATTACTGTGTCTGATTGGGGTATTCATGTTAAACTGCGGCATGGTATCTCAGTGTGCTAGCACTATAAATCGACTCGTACAAGCAATTTTACCACACACACACACACACACACACATGTGCATGCACGTCTCTATAAGTGCAATAATCTTGGACGCGACGTTAAACCCCATTGCACCTCACCTGTCATCTGCAACTTGAAACACCACGGAGTCGTGATATTGTACAAACAAACGTCAGCCATGCATGGTATTAAGCACATACTTGTGTGGCATCTCTAAAGAGTCTCATTTATTTGACACACGAGGAGATGTCTAATTCTTTGCGCAGGAGCTTAGACATTGTTCTGCTTTGTTTCCAAACACTGATCGACAAAAGTTGCAATGAAAAAAACGAAAATAGATTCATGTTTGTTTCAGTTAAGTTTATCTTGAATAGCATGTACATGTATATATACGCTGTAACATATATACGTTAAAAGATGGTACTTGTTGTTACCCTGTCTGACGCTCGGCATAAGGGGCCAAAACAAGGACTGGTCGGTTCGGAGTCAGTATACTGTATCTGAGTGGGGTATTCATGTTAAATTGCGGCATGGTATCTCAGTGAGCTAGCACTATAAATCGGTATCAGTCCGGATTAGTACAAGCAGCCGCCTTTGCCTCGGGAAGATGTTCAAAGATATACTGAACCCAACTCACCCACTCACACATTCTCGGTAAGGTGTCTTCCCAGGAGGCCGACCTTTAATACCCAGATTTAAGTAATCTATTGTGACAACGCATTACTAACTGCATGGGGGTAATCTCACACCTCTCAATTAAATTAATTATTCTTACCAATTATTTATGATTGACCTGTGTCATACCTTTTTGCTGACCCGTGAAGACCCGTGGTAGAATATACTTGCCGTAAAAGGTGACTAACGGGATCGGGTGGTCAGGCTCGGTGACTTGGTTGATGCACGTCAATGATCCCAATTGTGTGGATCGATGCTCTTGATGTCAATCACTGAATTGTCTGGTCCAGACTCGATTATTTGCAGACCGCCGTCATAGAGCTGGAATATTGCTGAGTGCGGCGTTAAACAACAAACAATCTTTGTTACATAGACAGGGGCATAGATGCTTTACCCCGCTAGACAAACCCCACCGCCATGCAGTGGCTTTGTCGGTTAAGCTTATTAATCTAAACAAATGTCATATCAGGTGGGAAGTGTTGTATATTTCATGCAGGTGTTCACAAGAATAGTCACGTGATGTTAATGTTTCGAGTTTAGCCAATCGGGAAACACTTCCGTTGCACGAGTTTTTCCTGCGCGCAATCCAGACTCTTTGGATCGAAGCAGACGACGCTTACTTTATCAAATGGACCGGCGCATTGAACGCTGCGTTTAAAATTTCGTATGTCATGTGCATTATGAAGACTTTTCACGAAGAAACATTTTTCAGCTTGATTTCCTGCCCTTCCGTATGTTTTCACTCTTCAGAGGACGTTGAACAAAACGACATGGTAAGTGCAGCAATATGTAACTAAACAATCTGTACGTGAACATATAATTATGTAAACGAATAATCGCTGTGGCTGTAACGATTCGCAGATGATGTGATGTTATATTCGATACAAAACAGCACCAGGGCACCAGACCGGTAAGAGCGTTTCTCTGTCACC